ACGAGAAAAATCACAAAATTAGAAACTGTTTCAGGTTTCTAACAGGCTTGGAATTTTGAAAATGCATTTCTAATGAGCTTCGAGGTGGCTGAGCTCTTAGCCGTCGACTTTTATATAAGCTAGTGATGTCAGGGAATGATGTCAGATATATTGTTATTGTAGCCAATTTTGATTCCTGTTTACTCTTTGATTTAGTTTGACTTTGCAATTGCGCGTCGCAGAATGCAGAAAGAAACGAGTTAATGCGCTCTATCCATGAGTGACCGACTGGCAGATACTCTGTACCCTAACTGTAGAATATCGCATAGGAATGATATGATTTTTCAATTTGGGAAATATTTAAAGTATATAATATTCCTTAGCAGTGTATACTCTACAACGGATGGATAGACAATTGTGTCAAGATAAGCTAGGCTGTTGATGCTGATCAAAATTTGGGTCAGCGATGTTTTCTTCTATCTGCTTCAAACAGCACGAAATCCAATTTTAAGCATATTCAGAGTACAACATGTTATACAGCACTTAAAATGATTTGTTATATGCCATAATTAATAACCCAATCGATCTAGCCATATATATACTTTGACCAAAGCAGGCCTATATCTAAGACTACGGCAGAGAGCAAAGGCAAATTTGGAATGTAGGCCTTCGTTTGCCATACGCAGGTTAGGCTAATTTAAAATTTTGTTTCATAATCGTATGCAGAAATTTTCATAACGAGCGATTTATTATAAACAAGGAAGTAAGTCAAGAATCTGCATATATATACATAAATTATATATATACATAAGTTTATATCAAAATCAAAGAGCAAGGTGAGAATTGCTAACTAAAGCCCTGCGTAAATAATGTACGCATTTTTGATTGTAGTCTCAGTTGTAACTAAGTAATTTAATATTGTATACCACCATATGGCTAAGCTAAACATTTAGATTAAAGTTTTGAGTAATTTATATGCGAACTTTAACCACAACAATGCCAAGGGAATGAATGGCAGGGTATAAAGAAATGCATTATTTCACTTATATTGAACTAGATTAAAAAACAATATGATTTTATTTCAAAGACAGAGTATAAACGAATGATTGAATTGCAAGGGTGTTGTAAATATATATGAGCCAGTAATTAGAATTAACGAGCTTTATCCAATTCAATCTTATTTTGAACTTGTTCATACCCTGTATGCATAGAATGGGTATAATCGCTGTGTGCAAATGTATGTAACAGGCAGATGATAGCATTTCCCATCCCATAAAGTATACGAACATATACTTGATCTCGTCGTTGAGCTGAGTCGAGCTAACCATATCCATTTGTTTATCCTTTTTTAACCTTTATCATTCTCCTATTTCTATAACATTTTTATGCGCTTTATTGGAGCTGGAGAACACCCTTACTTGTTTAAATATACATTATCAATGATGTCTCCTTCTTAGTGCAAGTCTATTATACCCTCTTTCACGCACTGTTTTTCTAACAGGTCAATGTGAAGTGATCAGTGGGCAGCTTTTGGATTGGACTCTGACACCTGTTATTAGGCACAAAAACTATTTGAGTTTTCCGTTCAACATTTTCAGCTTCAGCTACTTCGATTTCGGTTCAGTTTCTGCTAAATTTATGCGACTTTTTCACTCAAATTGTACGCGTCTGTCATGTTTCTGTTTCTTCTGTGGGCGTCCCTCGTTGGTTGCATTTGTTACAACGTCTGGACATAAACCCAACTCCTCTGCAGCATTTAGCAGCACATAAAAATGTTTACAAAATACACGCCGAAACATAGCTCTGATAACCCCCTCTATGTAATTAACTCTTACTGTGAAGCTTTAACCGTGGTCGTGCATTCAATATCTTAATCGGCGCAAAGCTCTTATAACAACAAAGCCCACTCATTGGATAGATGAAAAATATGCAAAACTGCTTGTTTAATCAGTAAAATGTGTTTAATTAAAATTAATAAATAGCAGCTTTCCCAGGGAAGCCGAAAATAGGTTAATAGCAATATTTATATATGACGAAATCGGCTGGCACTTTATTGGAGTTTTTGGAAGAAAGCGGGTGTAGACTGGACATGACTTGAGTAAGAAATTCAATTACTGAGCTTATAGTAGAGTATTTTGGGAATATCACTGTTGGACAACAAGTGCCGACTAGTAGATACTCTAAACAAAGCTCTCTTCATACATATATTCATGCAAATTCACTCCCACACACTTTCTGGTTTCAAATATTCTTAGTCTGTGTATGTTCTCTTAGAATTCCTGCGCGATTCGGTTGATTTGATTGCTTGCCCCTAAGATATGTTACAGATGCCTCCGTGTGCATGTTGTATGCATATGCACAATTTTATCATAACCATTGCGTCAATTGTTAATGAGCACAAGTCATAATCAAACAACTTCTCACCCAGACTGTATTTGTGGCACACACAAACATGGGCTTAGCCATAAATCATTATTATTAGAAATACCTACGTGTAAGCCAGCCAAATTGAGAAGTCAGAAACCTTTGGCAATCATTTCAATTACATTATTAAAATGACAAAAACGTCATAAGACATTGTACAATGTCGTCGAGTGACAACAAAGCAAATGTAATCTAATTGCACAAGCCACAGAGAAACAATCAGCTATCAACAATCCGCAATCCACGTAAATGGCTATACATAGCAAACAGTCCCGGCAACTTTTCACGGCGTAAATCAAAGGAAAAGCGGCCAAGTGGCACAGCTCAGCTACCAGCCCAACAACAACAAGCTGCATTCATTTGAATATGCGCCGCATGCAGTTCGAGTCTGAACTATCTGCATATCTATCTATCTGCCTAGCATCTGTCAGAGCCGTCGCTCGTAACTTTCCCCCATAAACTACGAGAAAAGGCGCCGTCGCCAGAAAAATACACACGCAACACACACACATGAACACTCACATTTAAGCACAACAAAAGCTAGTAAGAGTACTCTAGTCGAGCGTGCCCAACTAGGAGATACCGAGCTGTCGTTACAAATACTCGAACCTTAAACTTTACAATGTAAATACTATAGAAAACGGGAAAGTCTGATCCTTTTGAAAATGTTAAAGCCTTTATTATGTAGGAGAAAATGAGGGAACGTATTCAAAAATTCAAGTATTCTGAATTGCAGTATTCTGTCCGAGAACCTTAATGCCATGTTTGGAATATCTATTTTTTATGGGAGATATTTATCGTTGTTATTGAATAAATTTGATCAACTTGTCTTAAGTATACGCATGAGAATATATATTGCAAATTCGTTATGCCGAAACAGTTTACCCTTCGTACAAGCTGTCAATGGGTAAATATTGTCTGCAGCATGGAATCTCTATTTGTAGCCTGGTCTCGGCCTCGGGTTTGATCTGCTCTCGCAGGGCTGAGTCAAGTGCGTTGCGCTGTCGCTTGAATCTTTGTGCGGCTGTTTAAGTTGTTGCCCTCCTCTTTATTGGTAGCGGGAATGTTAACAATGCATTTTGTTTGTCCAAACGTCGCGCTGCAGTGTGTGACTTTTGCTCTTGATTTGTGTATTTGTGTGTTATGCAAATTGATTTGCTTTTGTAAAGCATAGTTCACATTTAAACAGTTAAACAACGTTTTGATTAGGGATTGTATAATACATTTTATAAACCATAGATATCTCTAATTGCATAACGTATAATTGATTTTTTTCTATCATAAAAGTATATTTTTGGCATTGTTATTGTTCCCAAAGTCGATAATTATAACACTAAAAGGCAAATTGTACAATGGCTTGGGCAGCTTTAATTGAAATATCCAACATATTTGTTGGGTATCAACCGATATGACAATTGTTTTTAAGCTTATCTGTTTCCTAATGGATATATGTTATTATTCATTAATTGGAATACCTTCGAAGCTTTGTACATATATACAACCTCGACACACTCCAGGCCACGTAGATATCTTGAAAAGAGTGCAAAGTCATATTTACTCTATTGTATATTTTTGTTCTATTGCTTTATTACGCCATTGCCACCGTGATTATCTGGACAGTTTGTATATCTATATATATCTGTATATCTGCGGGTGCTATTTGCTCGTTCTGGTGCCGGGTTCGTTCCACCTGTTTGGCTGGCTGTCGATGCTCTGGTTGGCTTCCTCTGTTGACTGATGATTTGTTGTTGTTGTTGGTTTGCCTAATTTTGCGATTGTTTACAACTTTGGCGCAAGCGTGTACGCCCACAATTCAATATGAATTGATTTACTAATAATTTATTGTATTTAGTGGGCAGTGCAGTCAGACCGAAACAGAATCCAACTCAACTACATATATGTCGCGACAACAACACATACCCTACTATAATGAGGCCTTAAGCACTTAAGCTAGACTATTTACCCATGCAGAGTGCTAAGGAATGCTCGAGACTGAACGTACCCTGTATCAGTCTACCATGTGGACTCCCAGCAGAATACCCTGTAATGCTTAGTGGATTCGTTGCGTGGGTGCTTCTATAATTGATTAATTGCTTCTTGGCCAAAGCACGCCTTCTTTTCGCTGCATTGATTAATGCAATTCTCGATTGTGGCACTGTGGAATCTGCTTTCGCAACTGTCAATTGAAAATGTAAATGTAATATTAGAATGCTAAGCATGAGGCAATAGATACAGCGGGAGTAAACAACAAGCTCGCCTCGGTCAAGCGATCGAGCCTCGTGTGTGTTTTGTTTTCGTGCTTGACTGCAGTCCACGCCCGCCGAAAACTTGTTTTCAAAACATGCAAATTAAAGAGCGGGACTTTGACTGAAAGTAAGCTAAGCATTCATGAGATACACGTACGCAAAGAGCTTTCAAATGCGCCGTCTCTCAAAAACCCAATCAGCGAACAGACTGAGACTGAGACTGAGACTGAGAAGGTGGCAGGCCAGCTTTGAAGTCTCTCTTACGATGACGATGACGAAGTCGATTGTTCACGACTAGAAAGAAATCTCAACAGTTTCATTTGAGTCGCGCTAATAACGAAACGTATCCAACAGATTCGCAACGACAACGGCCGACAACGACAATTAGGAACGAAGGGACGGGGACGGGTCAGCGAGCAATTAGGAGCTCATCAATTCGCAGTTGTATTAAATAAATTAGCAACGAAACCAAAAACGTGTAACGAATATATCCCGAGCATAAATAATAAATTAAACAGCGTTGTAAACTATGTTTAGCGAATAAATAGAGCAAATGCATACAAATACTTTGCTAACGAAATTCTGAAATCCTCAATCTAATATGGCCTTCAGGCCCATCGAACACTGAAGTGAACCGGACAACCGAAAGCCCAAAAATCTCGAAGTATACCAAACTACGACCTTGAAAACAAATCAAAACAAAACAAAAACAAATATATTGAGACTAGTCATCGTTCATACAACAACGAATCCCAGTTAAAACAGTGCAAAAAAACCGAAAAGTATTATTTATTGAAAACAACGCCCCTACAAAAAAATACCGAATTTATAATCTAGACATACAGCTAAGCACATATATGTACATATGTAAGTGAGAAATTGTGGGCGTTCTTCTCTCTCAGTGCCACTTAAAAAACCGATAATAATAATAATTAAGTAGAAATTAAAATCCACCAAGAAATTGTCGGTGGCATGTATTATCAGACAAGGCCAAAATGTTCGCGCCACGGAATTCATCGCCAGTTGCCATATATGGCAAGGAGGATTTAGCTGCCTATGAGGTACATCCGTTTTTACGACCATATTTACACTTATACGCCCTGACAAGTATATATTTATTTTATGGATATATGCATATACCTATTATCAAACATGTTTATACCCTCAACCTATTGAATGTGGGTAAAGAGGGCATAATGCTTCTGTGCAAATGTGTGTTACAGGCAGACGAGAGCATCTCTGAACTAATAAACTCTGTTTGTCTTTCCTTATGTATTATCTCGGGACCTAAATGGGAAAGTTTTCAAACTTGAGCGAAATCGATATCAATAACCTTCGATATCGAAGTCCTATTTTTTTATCATATCTCTTCAGAATATTTAACTTTTAGGTTTCTTTTCTACTAACGATTTAAAAGATTTATTATTGGGCTCAAGTATTTAGACTCGTTTGTGCTTTGCAAATATTGCAAAAATCTGACTTGTGTGGCCCGAATTTAATCTAGAATGCATTTTCCATAGTGTGGGCTGCATCGCCTGCTGCGTGAGTGCGTGTGTGTCTGTATGTGTACACGTATATGTATGTATGCATGCGTGTATGTATTTATGTCAAGAAGCAGGTGCCAATATTTGTAACAACAGCTGGACGCTGGGTTAAGGGTATCTCCTAGTCGACCTCGACGGGCTAGAGCACTTTTATGTTTCTCTGTCAGCTCTGCTTCGACCGCTTCGAATCTCGCTAGAGCACAATTTGTTCTGTTGCATGATTTATATGGCCAAAAGTTTTGTCTCCCCATTTGTAATGGGTTTTTGTGGTTTTCTCTCTCAGCTCCATTGTCCGTGAATTCGGTCCATGTGTGTGTGTGTGTGTGTTTGTGGTCGGGCTAAGCTTTTCATATAGATATTGCTTACCATTTGGTTGAATTGTTGGATCGTAATTATAGGCAATTAGCCGTTGCCGCTGTTGATACTATTTGTGCTGCATCGGCAACTTCTAAGCCGGAGAGGAATGCCTAGACAATGTCAAGGAATCGACTATGCAACAGGTATAGAGTTTAAATATTTCATGGCAACTCTGCATACCATTTTCGCAATTTTTTAATCTTTTTACTGAGCGAAAGGCTGCCAAAAACTTACTTCAAGCATAAGCATTTTGCTCACGTCCGACAGCGCTTTGCAGTAGATACAAAGATACAAAAGTAGATATGTGTGCCTATATACTATATAATCCATACGAACACGTATATAAAGCTGCTCGATGTTTGACTTGACGATGATTTATAAGTATGTTCGTGTATGCTAGCCAAAGGCATATGCGCAAATGCGAGAAAACAAGCCGCTCAGCGCAAATTAGAAATGTAAAAAACGTGTCCACCGAGAGCGGAAAAAACAAAACAAAATAAAACTACAAAATAAGTAAGCTTGCTCTAGTCGAGCTGTGCCGGACTATAGTATACCCTACGCTCAGCAAAGTTTATAGATTCGTATTCCTTTTTGTTTTATAAACTGACAACTTGAAGAGAACAGGCATTCTCACAGGAAGCGTCTATTCTGAGATAGATCCACTTTTGTAAATAATAAAAGTTGAAAATGTTTGAACAACTTTATAATACCCTTCTTCCTAATTGGGTATAATTATAGAATGTTAATAACACTTATTATATATATTTGCTTCCCTTTCAACTTGTCTTGTTAATTCAGTTGTGCATATGTATTTATATTTAGTAAGCCTTTCTGTTTTAAATACAGTTTATAGATTACTTAAGTATATCTGATTAGCTCTGGCACTCATTTAATTGATTCATATTCTCTTTCTTCTCAATCAATAACATTTGATATAGAGTTATTTGTAAGTGGTTATTTTTAGCAGCCAATTTCACGTGATCCAGCTGAAAACGAAGACCTTAAGCCCAGAGCACATTGCTTGTCATTGCTGACACCTGTCAGACAAATATTTGCGATCGTGCGTCGCAGAATTATAACCGCAGCTTTGATGCTTTGTATCTCTGGCGTAGGCAGCTCTCAAAAATGTGTCACCAGCCCACACGGCGGCACATTCAGTCTGAACCATCAGAATTCGGCACATTTCAACGAACCAGCGAGTACAGCTGACCAAATTTGCCATAAGCCTCGGCCAAAGCTCGGACTGTTGGCTTCCTCGTGCACTGAACTTGGCTACGGTTCGATTATGCAACAACTTCTCATATTATTTATAAGCGAATCGGGGAAGAAGTCAACAAATTAAATGGCTTGTAAGCTGCTTCGATATGTTTTGCCCATGGTCGGAATCTGGCTGGTTTATTGGTACAGCCTTGCATTTGATAAATGTACAACAAAGGTGAACAGATATCTTCCGGGTGGCAGAAATGAAATAAATTTGCCAGATATATGATTTAGTGAAAGACTCAATATCAATCAAATTTTGCCGCAATGATTGAGGCGTGTTTTCAAGCCATGATTTCCTCAGCAATTTACAACAGAAAGCACTTGGATTCAAACAGAAAGATAGATGAGCATGTCAACATCGAATGAAGTCGACTTTTTACTGGCATAGCTTTCTTTGTAAATTCTCATTGTCGGTAAACAAATGAGAGAGTAATAAGAGTGACTAAGGAGTGAGGAGTGACTAACTAGCAGATACCCTGAACATAGTTACATACTAGCTCAATCTTCTTCCCCGATGGAAGGTGCTGCCTTAAATATACAACTTCACTGTTTCAAGGGCTAAATATTGCAAACAAGATTCTAGATTTAAGAAATAAAGTTTTTTATTGTAGAATGTGGAGAGACATCTGAAAATATAAATATTTTTAAAATGTGCATAAAACTCGAGAGCCTATAAAGATTGTCGAATCTAACTTTTATAATCTTTGAGTTATTCCGGAAACAACATGACGGAATACCTATCAAATATTTTGAACTCGTCCTGCGTATATTATCAATTCAATTTTCAAGATTCACTCTCGCTTTCAGCACAAAAGAGTTTTGTTTTCATTTTTGCTCTTGTAGTTGATTCGACCCGGGTAGTGGGTATCTCTTATTCGATCATCAGCGCGCGTTCAGTATTGTTGACAGTTTTCTAGCCACGCTCAAAGTGTTTACAATTTCACGGCATATTATACTCATTACGAATGCAAATATCTCAAGTCAGCTATAGAATAAACCGGTTCACAACGACCTTTTGCATTGAGAAATATTTCGAAGCTGCGTTGGTGGCAGCTTCAAAGTAAAATAGGCGAATAAAATATTGCTCTGAGAAGCGTCGGCTTCAAAGTCTAGTCAAAGTAGTGAACAATACAAACATCGAGCCAAAGGCTCGCACATTCCTCTACTCTAGACTATTGGCCAGATGATCTCAGCCCGGTGTACGATCTGTCTCTGCGACGCAAAATCATGCTACGGGTGTCTAATGAGTATTTTTCGATTCTCTTTGCATGCCAGCGAATATTGAACCATTTAATTGGTTGCGTTTTCAGTGCTTCAAGCTGCTCGCCCACACGTCGAACCTATCATTATATGGCCAGTCCGCCAGACTCGTGCAACTGCGTCACGGCTGCCATAAAACACTTGACTCGCACTTCCTGTCCTTATACTTTGTACCTACGCTCCCTGCTTGTATGTACATCACATAAGTTTGAAGTGCAATATTTAAAAAAAAAAATAGAAGCTCATAAATGAAGTCATACTTGTTTGTTGCGATTTGGTAAATCACCGAGCATATTAAGTATAATCAATTTGTGAGCGATCTACGCTTTTATCTTCTATTCATCTAACCAAAGGTCATTTTATTATGGGTTAGTATATCTATGTTCACGCGAAAATAACTTTAACTTTTATTGAATTAGCTGCTTTTATTTGTTTTTGCTATTCTTAACTCAACCCGACCACTTTTCGAAAATCGAGGCAACGCCTCCATGAATGTTTATACTGTTGCGTATACGTAATATTACATGTATAAGTGTATAATAATTATATTCCCACAAGCCCGATGCATAGAAACGTGCGAATTATGTGCGTAATCAAATTACACAGCACATTCAATTGAATAAAACTATTTATGCTATTTATTATACTCTTGTATAGGGTAGTATAATTTTCTCGCGAAATATGTCTGTTTCTATGCAAACTAGTCCCTTATTTTAAAGCTATCATCAAGTAAATTTCAATTATGTTGCAGGTTTTTGGTTCGGACTACTATATCACATAGCTGTCATAGGAAAGATCGGTGTAAAACTAAATACTTTCATGAAAATTTTCTTTTTTCTCAAGATATCTTAACTGAACTTAGTATTTACAAGGCTTTTATTCTTTACTTATTAGCGTAATCTTATTAATATCGGACTACAGTCAGTAGAAAATGAGGTTTTTTATGTAAAAGGTTTCGATTTTATAGATCTCATACATAAACTCATGTCATCTACATGTGTACAAGGGTATTTAATCTTTGGCGCGCCGAAAGTATCCTTTCTTTCTCGTTTTAATAAGTGTTTTAAGCAATCGAATCATTCTTAAGCAATGTAATGCCTAATTTATATAACTCTTTTTTAATTTCTATTGCAGATAAAACTCAAAAGAGTCTTGGGACTGACTGTTTGCAGCAATGCGGCACTCGATGTGTCGCCTGTCAGCGGCCTGCTGGCCTATCCAGCGGGGTAAGTTCCTATGCAAGCGAACCTGAACTAAACAAAAACCAGACCAATAATATTACAAGGCCTGTAGACATTTCATGTCAGCTCTGGAAATGTTCCTTTTAACGGACGTTTAATACAAATCATAACTTTCTGATTAACTCTTGACAATAACTAATCGCATATAGATTTGTGTTTATTTTAATCTAAGAATTCGCAAGAATTCAGAATCGTTCTGTGGGTTGAAACCATCTGCAGTAATCGAAAACTAAACTAGATTCGAGCTTAGCTCTCAAGTTTGCTCACAAGACCCGCTGTGTGCTGGCCTCGTGCTGGTCTCTGCGAACGCTTTTGCTCAAAAGAAAAAGATTTTCATATACATTTTCCGCATATATGTTGCCCCCTACAGATGCACTGTGGTCCTGTTCAATGCCAAACGTCACACACAGGCCTATCTGGTCAATACCTCCCGCAAAGCATTCACATCCGTGGCCTTCTCGCGCTGCGGCCGTTACGTGGCCACGGGCGAGTGTGGCATCAATCCCGCCATCAAAGTTTGGGAGCTGGAGACGCCCAATGGCAATCTGGAAAACTGCAGCGGCGGCAGCGTTGTTGCCGAGTTTGTGGATCACAAATACGCCGTTACCTGTGTGGTAAGTAAACTTATAGAGCTACATATTAATCTCGTCTTTAATTGTACTATTCTGCATTAACTACAGGCATTTTCGCCCACGGGCAAGTACCTGGTGTCGGTGGGCTCCCAGCACGACATGATTGTCAACGTGTTTGACTGGCGCGCCAATCTTAAAATGGCCTCCAACAAGATAAGCTCCAAGGTGGCAGCCGTTTGCTTTGCTGAAGATGGAAGTTACTTTGTCACCGTGGGCAATCGTCATGTCAAATATTGGTACTTGGAGGGTGGACGCAAGGTAACCGACTCTCAAGTATAATACATTCAGAGAAATTAATATTAGTTCTTCCATTTGCAGTACAAAGATCCGATCCCGCTTATGGGCCGCAGCGCTATTCTGGGCGATCTTCGCGACAATGACTTTTGCGCCGTCGCCTGCGGCAAGGGCATCTGCTCAGAAAGCACCTACGCCATCACACGGCAGGGACACCTGGTCGAGTTCAGCTCGCGGCGGCTGCTCGACAAGTGGGTGCAGTGCCGCACCAGCAACGCCAATTGCATCTGCGTCAACGAACGGTTTATACTCGTCGGCTGTGCCGAGTCCATCATACGCATCTTTAATGCAGCCACCTTGGAGTACGTGACGACCCTGCCGAGAACACATTACCTGGGCGTAGATGTGTCCCAGGGTATTCAGATCAACCATATTATGTCTGTGCCTCAGCATGCCAAGTTTCCCGATTGTATTGCCATGGTTTTTGACGAGCAGCGTTCCAAGGTACGAATCGCCCACTTAAGAGCCAACTAATCGAGATATTCTCCAAACGAACTCTATTATATTATGCTACAATATGTATATCTTACGAAAATCCGTAGATATCCAACAGATTATCCGTGATTTTGATAGAGACTTCTAACCACATCCACTTTCAGGTCAGCTGCGTCTACAACGATCACTCGCTGTACATCTGGGATTTGCGCGATATATCGCGCGTGGGCAAATCTCACTCATTCCTGTATCACTCCACGTGCATTTGGGGCGTGGAGACTGTGCCATATAACGTGGAGCGCGAGGCTTCGCAGACGTTGCCAGAGGATTGTTTTGTTACCTGCTCGTCGGACGACACGATACGCGTGTGGGGCTTAGAGAGTTGTGCCAACAATGAGATATATCGCAAGAATATATATTCCAAAGAGTTACTCAAGATCATCTACAGCGACGAGGATTTGCAGTACATCAAGGACCAGGGCTCCTCGCTCTTCGACAAGGCCGGCAACTCAAGCTACGATGGCCGAAACGGCGTCCGCTGCATTAAAATCAGCCCAGAGCTACAGCATCTGGCGAGCGGCGATCGCTGTGGCAACATACGCGTCTACAGTCTGGTTAACCTCAAGCTGTTGACCACCATAGAGGCCCACGAGTCCGAAGTGCTCTGCCTGGAGTACTCCAATGAGAAGATTGAACGCAAGCTGCTCGCCAGCGCCAGTCGCGACCGGCTCATCCACGTGTTTGACGTCTCGCAGAACTACCTGCTGCTGCAGACATTAGATGATCACAGCTCCTCCATCACTTCCATTAAATTTGTGGGCGCTGGACTCAACTTTCAGATGATCAGCTGCGGGGCAGACAAGTCTATTATGTTTAGAAGCTTTCAGGTAAGTGTCTGCCGCTGTCTCTCTATTGGTAACCAAGTAGCTGATTGGACCTTTGTCTCCTGTAGGGTAACATCTTTATGCGCGGCACAAACACCTCTGGCAAGACAACGCTCTACGACATGGAGGTAGACTCGAACGCCAAGCACATTTTGACCGCGTGCCAGGACCGGAATGTTCGCGTCTACGGCACTCAGAACGCGAAGCAAACGAAAACCTTTAAAGGCTCCCACTCGGACGAGGGTAGCTTGATTAAACTGAGCCTGGATCCGAGCGGCATTTACGTGGCCACCTCCTGCACGGACAAGACGCTCGCCGTCTACGATTACTACTCCAGCGAGTGCATGGCGCGCATGTACGGACACAGCGAGCTGGTTACGGGCCTCAAGTTCACCAACGACTGCCGGCACCTCATCTCGGCCAGCGGCGACGGCTGCATATTCATCTGGCAGGTGCCGCACGACATGATTGTCACCATGCAGGCGCGCATGTCCCAGCAGCGACTGCGCTCCGGCATCGCTCCGTTGCAGCGACCACTGGCGCCCATATCGCCGCCCGATGCTATTGTGGTCGAGTCTCCGAGCAGCGAGCTTGAGCACCAGCAGCTAGCTCCCAAGTTCGCAGTAGCTGAAGAGACGCAGCCCAATCGCCATGCCTACAGGCTGTCCGACGTGGGCCAGCTGCCGCAGTGGGCCATGCGCAAGGCGGCAGAATCGGAGAGCGGCGCGTTGTCCATACCAACGCCTGTTGTCGGCGGCTTGTCGTCTGCGACCATACATGCGGCGTCATCCATGGGCAACCTTAGCTCATCGCCCAGTCAACAGTTGGGCGTGGCAGCACCCCGCGCTCGTGGACGCTGGGCCCAGCGCAGCAGTCAACTGGAGTCGGAGGATCTGCGCTCGAATTCCGAGAGCCCGCTGGGCACAGTCTCTTCCGTGGGCGGCCATAATATACAAACCTCCGACTACAATAGCGCTTCCTCCAAGGACATCATGTACAATCAGACGTACCTAAGCGAGGACTCCTCCATTGACTCGGGCATGGAGACGCGACGGGATCTTAAGTTCGTTGGCAGCAACAACAATGGCACCATCTCCAACATCTCAACCACCAACTCCAGCACAAATGCTCCGGCTACGGGCGTTGGTCAACAGCGCTTGCTCCTCGACAAACGCAAGCCCGGAATGCGCTTCGACACGCACACTCACGATCACGATGGCGATGTTGAGGATATCTCGGATGGCGAACGAACCAGCTCGGATCACGGCATGTTCTACAACAATCTGGCACCCAGCACGCCAACGTAAGTTCCAAAACGGGGAACAGACTAATGTGGGCCGAGTATATATATATACTCCAAAGGGACAGAGATGACTTCCTGCTTACATTTAATAGAATTATATTACAATTAAATATTTTATTAATATTATTTGTTATGCACAGCGACTTCAAGGTGACCGCCATGAACGAGGAGGAACTACGAAAGTCGGTGCGCCGCCAGAAGTTCGAAAAAACCGGACTCCAATTGGCCCCAGCCAGTAACAACGGCAGCTCCCACACGGCGAGTACCGGAACTGGAACAGGAACATCGGACACAGAGGACGAGGGCTCGACGCCCAGCGCTGAAAATGCCGAGCGCTCGTTGGCCTCAACGTTGGGTGGCAGCTCCGAGAACTTGCCACAGACCAGCAATAGCTTTCTGCATGCGGCACTGCCTGAAGGCCCTGGCACGTTGCTGGAGCGCGGCACAAGCAGTAAGCGAATCTTTATAATGTCGTTTCTTTACTCATTCTCGCCTCGTTGTAATGCCGCAGGCCGTCGCAGCATCAGCGCCAAGCACAACACGGAGAGCGGGAAGGGCGTGTCAGCGGCGCCGACCATCACAAAGTCATATACAAGCACCAAGAAAGAGGAGTTACTTCAGGTCATCAACAAGGTCAAGCAGCAGCTGGAGAATGTGAGTATATATCTGAGTCTATTAATGCTGTTTTCGTTTCAAATACTCTTTGTTTTGACGCTGACATCTTGTGTTCCTCTCGTTTTCCTTATGTATTTTATTGTGTTGCGTATTGCTTTGTCTGTGTCTGTCTTGGGCACCACTCAACACTTTTGAACGACAAATCAACTCCCAAATACTTAAATCCCCGACCTTATATATATATATATGTAGGGCACGCACAAAAATGGTATTAAAAAGTTAAATACCATCGCTGAGGTGAGAAACCGAGTTATCTTAACTGCTTCTGTCGATGCTTTACGACTGACACTTGCCTTGTTTCTATTGCATTCTCATTAAACTAAGTATGCAGAGCTGAAGAAATTTGGCATTTCATTTAACGACAACTAATTATTCAAGAGATACTTAACCAAACAACAAAAACATGACTTAACAAGAAGAGCTTTGAATTACTCGATGCATTTCCCCAAAAATCAACTAAAACTTAGACAGGTCTTAATATAGAGTAGATCAGCTTATTAAAGAGCTTGGTTAAGAGTCCGACTGACGGAAAATTGCCAAGTTTCATCAAGCCTTAAATCGAAACTAACTAGTTTGCATACAGTCAGATGGACCAAGCTTTTTGTCATCCCTTACAAGGCAACATAATAATACCCTCCGCAAGGGAGAACTCGACCACTAAATACCCTGTACTCCAAACTGCTGTCACATGCATTCGAACTTTGGTCTATGTATACATCAAACACACATCTCTTCATTCTTGCTCCGCATTATTCTGTCTGTGCGTCGGTCCGTATGTATAAGAGGTTAAGGTGGAGACCCTAGCTAACGAATTTGATATCTTGATATCTGACTTTTATAATTTCCGAGTTAGACTTATAAAACAAGGTTTTTAAATCGATATTTATCGATATTATGATAATTGAGAGAGATATTCAAAATAAAAATACCCTTCGTTCTGAATGTACGATATTTATTATTAATATGTTTTAAGCTTCAAGCTCTTAGGGTTTCTGAGATCGGCTCAGCTCATGATCAATAATATTTAAACATTTTGAGGTCGTAGAAGCTTTCGCTTGCCTGTTCCAAAGGGAGCAGGGATTATTCATTAGACGGGACTTAACAAGAGTCGCCCGTTTGGCCAACGAAAAAAGATATGGCTTTTGCTTATTTCTAACAGTTATTTAATCCCCATGCAACATTATAATACCATCTAAAGCAACAATTATACTAAGAAAATAGCTTTTCTCGCTTGTTAACAGTTAAGTTCCTCAGTTCTTAACCTAATCAACACTATAAAAATCTGGAAAGAAACGTATTAAAATAAATATTTATTGCTGTAATATTCACAGGTCGGCCATAGACCCCTGCGAGGCAGCCATAGCATTTCGGATCTAAGCCTTGCGGGAAACTTTGATGGATCGCGCAGTTCCGGCCCGATGCGCTACACGAAGCCAGGTGAGGATCGGCCGCGTGAGCTATAAGCTTGTGTGGATATATATGTGTACCTTTAAGAACGTAGGCTAATTCGTCAACTTTTGCGATATTTTGTTTGCCTCGTCCACTCTCTCTCTCTCTCTTTCAATTTCTTTGTCTCTCTTTCCGTATTGCGCTCACTTTGGCCTAAATAATGTTGGTAAAACAAAAAATCATAAATACTTGTTATCTGCATTTGCTGTTAACCTTGTTGAATAACTCCACTAGTTGATTCCCACGATACTTCACAGTACATTAGGTCCACTACCTCATCCATTACCACCGCATCGCCTCAGCAGCTTCCGCCTTCACAACAACAACAACAACAACAGCACGCTCAGCATTATGGCTGCTCTGTGCAGCACTTCTTTAACAGCGCCGCCTCCAGGACGAAACTACAACAGAACTTTCAAACCATGCGTCAAGTGCAGCAACATTATCCGCCCTATCCGCATCACGTGGGCGTTCATCAGATACACCCGCCACCGGGCGTTCCATTTGGCCACAGCAACGCCGGCTACGTGTCCGGCAGGTCGGCAGCAGCAGCGAGACAAGCCACAGCGAAAACCACGCCCCGGCTGAGCGCAGCCAAGCGCAATCCGGCGGGCAACAATCGGCGTACCCCAAGCATTCTCAAGCATTACAAATCGTGTCCAGTCTCGCCGGTGCACGAGGAGGTGGAGTGGTCGGCAGAAGCGGAGCGGGTCGCGCCTGCTGAGCCAAAGCGACACTCGGTCTACGCGGACGACGCACGCACAATTCTGGACATGATTCACGCGGACACCGAAAAGATGATCGATGAAATAACGCGCAAGTACGGCGATCTTGATGAACCATCTAGATATGCTGTTCTTCCCGCTTCCTGCTCCGTGCCGGCCAATCTGCGTGCCCTGGACTCCACCAGCGAGTCCACGCCGACGGCGACTCCACCACGCGCCCAATACTATGTCTACCGAGAAATCTATCAGTGCGAGCGGAAAGTGTCGCTGTCAGATATTCTAAAGCCAGAGCAGTTTACTGAGACGCAGCAGCGCCTCGAGGAGGCTCGCTTCCTAGAGACACAGCGCCACTCCAGTGCCAGCTTCTTCCTGAGCAGCTCCGGCCAGCTGCCGCACGAGCACAGCCAGGAGTCGCTGCTCTCAGACGGCGGCAGCTACTGCAACAGTCTTGAGAGCGTCCTCTCCGACGAAAGCGACTGCAAGAGTGCTCCCCTTGAACCGGCTCTCGACCAGCAGCGGCCCCTGCAAGCGATGCAGTGCCACGCTGGCATACGCAACTTTATTCTGCACGGTCCCGTCTCCAAGTCGTACGGCAACAGTCCCAATGCCTACGGCAGCTTTGACTACTATATGCGCCAGCAGACAGCCGCCGCTGCGGCGGCTACTTACGACAGCTTCGATGTCACCGGCTACAACCTGAAGCCGCTGAAGCCACTGCCCAGCTCGAAAACATACCCTCGTCTAGCCTCGGTTCCAACGGGAACTGCCGCCGTGGAGCATATTCCCACAATGCGATCCAAGAACAAGCAATACAATTCCGGAGTAAACAAGAGTCTCAGCACTGACTTTGCCCAGCAGCGGCAGCAGCGCAACTCAAATCCCCTGTCTCAGTCTCACAATCCAGTCTCGCAGCCCAGTCACCATGCCCCATCCCCATCGCAATCCCAATGCCAAACACCTGCTCGTCCCAATAGCCAGCTGCTGTTTGTGCGCAAGCAACTCAAGCCGAAGCCTCCGATACCGGCGAAACCTCACAATCTGGTGTCCACGCTCACATGCAATGTTGAAAAAAGTCAGCCCTGTGTGGGCACCTCCAGGACGGCCACGGTGGTGCGTCAGTTCGAGCACAATCTGCTCAAGTTTGAGCGCGAGAAGCAGCGCACCCAGCAGCGCCCGTTGCCGGCGATGAGATACTCGGTGAGCAGCGGCGCGCTGGCTACGCCCAGCAGCTGCCTGAAGAAGGTGTCTCGCTTCGACACCAGCGAGAGCAGCCGACGCGCCACCAGCGTGCGCCAGAAATCCCGACCCAAGATCAGCGTCCGTTTCAATACCGTGTCGCAAATAAAGTACACCCCCAGCGCGAAGCGGGAGCGCGCCAGCCTCAACGATGTCAACAGCAATGAGATTGAGTCGGAGGCGCTAGAGGCGCCGCTCGTGGGCAGTCTGCCCAGCGACTACGGGGGCGAGCGCAGTTTTGAGATGTACTTCGCAGAGAACGGCAATGCGCCGGAGAATTTGGAGAATATGGAGAATATGCAAAGCTTGAAGCTGTACAAGAAGCCCCAACTGCAGGCGGTAGTCGATGACATTCAACAGGAGCGCGCCAAGCACAAAAAGAACATGGACAATGTGGTGCGCTCCGGTGGTGGCAATTCCACCAGTCATCAGTGCCAGAACATTGCCGAGAAGATAGACATCATTGAGAAGCTGATCGCCATGGAGGAGCGCAAAATAGAGCAGATACGAAAGGCCACTGAGACCCGCTTGCGTCCCTTTGCCTGCAATTCGAAGCAAAAGGGCTACGTCAAGAGTCTGACTATGAACTTTGACATGCTGGCGCGTGCCCAGGACCAGCATAATCTGCAGCTGGGGGAGCATATGCCCGCCACAGATGCCGATCTGTGTGCCTATGCGCGTCACATCCGCAGGAACTGCAGCCTGCCGGACGTACTGGAGAGCTCCGACTTTGGCTATCACCGTGCCCACAGCAATGGTAACGACGTGGAGCTGGCCAAGGAAGTGATTGCCGACGATGACACCCAACAATGTGTTCATCTCGACTCCGACAGCGAGCAAATGGACGCCGCCAAATCGAATGCTGAGGATCAAGGTTTGAGCGTTTCAGCCTCGTTGTTGTACCACCACAGAACAAGCACAAATATTCTTTTGCTCCACTGAATCATTTTGTACTCCTTCATGATCGTGCGCACACATTTTGTTTTGCTTATTAGTTGACGCGTCCTTTATTACACGAACCATTGAAGAAGCACCTGCCCGGCATGTGAGACCCCGATTAATAACCGTGTACGCCTACTTACAGGTAATCCCAAACTGATCAATCCCATCCCCATTGAGGAGTCGTCGATTCGTCGCGCCTGCTCGCTGAGTGATCTGCATATGGGAAACTTTGGCAAGCGTAAGGGCCACGAAAAACTCCTGTTGCTCCCGCAGCTAACGTTAACGTTTCACACCCGTTTCCCACTCTTCTCCCCTACAGCCAGCAAGTCCAATGGCACTCCTCAAAAGCCCACGGCTCAGCATCGGAACGGCAACATCGCCCGATCGGCCAGCAAACGCAACAGTCTGCAGGGAAAATCGGGCCTAGGCGCCTCCAGCAACTCCATGAACGTGCTCAATCAGGTCGTAAGTACCAAATTCAGCACAAACCACTTCATTCGAATCAAAACTCAAACCATTCTTTCAGAGCGACTCGGAGACAGAAGACATCAATCGATTGCGCAGTGCCAACAACGGACAAGGTCGTAACAATGGAGCTGTCGGTAGGTTTTAATCTTAAAGACATAAAGAGAAAGGCAAGAGTGATCTAGAAAACGACTCCCTACTAAAGGTTGCCCTCTGCGCAACCAGAATTCGAACTTGATTTCATATACATACATGCCTGTGAATGTGCTTATTGTTGGGAAATGACTTCTAGAATAACTCCAGTGTATATAGTTCGAGGGCACGCAATGTGCATACCCTAGTGTCTAATATTTTAGCTGCATGTTTAACAAACATTTAAAAAAAATCGAATGCTGGATTTGGCGACCCTTCCATATTATAAATATTTGTTTGGCTGGCTCGAGATCCATATATATTATATCTATCAATATGGAATTTGGGGAGCTATCGAAAAATAAATGTAAACTTAATCTGAGTTCGTCATTCTGATTAAAAGTTTCCTTCGTATTTAGTGGAATATTCGCACATATGAGACCCGAACTTTTCATTAGGATTCGGGTAGTAACAGCGAAGTTATTCAAGAATGTCTATTCCATAAAGTGGGGCTGAGAAAGGAATCACATGTATGTACAGCAGGAATTTCGGGTACTAGTCGTGCCCTATCGACTAGAGCACTCTTTATTGAACAGGGTTTATTAACCCAAAGTTGGTCTTAAACCAATCTCCTCTAACCCATTTCTTTTTGCCGTCTTGCAGCCGCCTCTCGACAGTACAGCAACAAAATCACGAACGCCAACAGCAATCGACGCAAAGCGCCCAACTTCAACAGTGGTAATATTGGTAATTGCACATTTGACTGAAATACTCTACAAAGCAGTTCGATTTTGATTTATAGGCACAGCACTGCAAGATGACTCCAGTTCGGAGGAAACACCCAACATCGCCGCCGGCAACAAGCCGGTTGTGCCGCCCAGACCTCGAAATTTGGGATTCGATCACAAGAGCAAACTGAACAGCAATACTCCAACCACTGCAGCCAAGCAGAGAGTCGGCGGACTTGATGACTACGAGGCCGCTGATTGTAAGTCGTAAAGACGAAATACCAATAACAGAAAAGGGTTGAAACTCCGCAATACTCTGTTCTTAGTATTCAGCCTCGGCGAAGAAAAGCGTTCTTGATAATAATGAGAGATAAGCCCAACGTTTTTTGGTCTATCAGTTAAAACATATTAATGTCTGAAATTCATCAGTGCAGGGTCTTATTATGTTCATCACGATCTAAAGAGCAGTTCCTTAGTATTCTACCTGTCAAAAAAAGGGAACTCTAATTCTAATAAGTCAGGTAGATCTAGCCTGGAATGCAGGAACAATATTATATACACACACATAGTAAACACATATTTTTCGCCCAGCCACACCGAGACATTTTCAGAGGTTGAATATGCTACCCACCTTTGTGTATATACCAAAAAGCAATGATTGTGATATATTTAAATAAATATAATAGTGTGCGTTTATGGCTAATCAATAAATTCTTTTTTATTGCATATTTCATATTTACCAGCCGAGGCGCAGGTACACAATGTGATCAACAAGCTTTACACGACTACGCAGACTGCAATGCAGCTGCACGCGAATCTGAAGAATTCGTTGTTGCTAAAGGAACTGGAAAATGCTGTGATTATGTCTCGTAATATGCTTGGCAGTATAACTCACAATCGGTAATGCTTAACTTAACCAATAAATAAAGGAGAATTGATTTATAACTTTCTGTAATTATTTCAGGCAAACTGAGAAGGCGCCCTCGAGTCAAAGCTACAATCATAGCGGGGGAGGAGCTGAGATCGGAGACGGGCTCAATCGTGAGCAGATATCAGCCACAGGCAATCTGGAGAATGGCCAATACCTTATGATGGTCAATAACTGTGCCGATCTGCTAAGCAATTTACGCACCAAGCACAAACCCGACGACTGTGAGAATAACTCCTAGTGTGTAGCGCTTATACTACTTGTTAGGTTAACAATAAATGGCAACTAAATGGGTTAAAACAAACTAATATTTATTAAATCTAATTATCTAAATCACTAAACTGGCAAATGGCAGAGATAAGCAACAAAACTAAAATCAGATCCAACTTATTTCTAATTGATATTCATTAATAGTTATTGTAAAGATCTAATTTGTTTTTAGTCAAGCTTTGTAGCTCTTAAGTATTTGCGTATTTGTGAGCGTGCATTTCTTTTTTTTTTTTGCTTTGGCCTTTATTAATATAAATTCACTTTTGTAAAGTTTGAATTGAATTCTTAGCGCTTTAAGGTTAATATGCAATTTATATTTGTTAAGTGTTATCTTAGTTACGTTCGTCTAAAACGGATGCCAGGCGTGGCAGAATTGTAAAGTACGCCAAACATTCTGTATGTTGACTTTTTGTTTTTTTCTCTTCCATGTTTACAATTTAGTCAAGGGACTAACCTAAGCCGAAAGGCAAAATCCATCGGATTATTCAAAAATGTTAGCAAGAAAATGCAAATGTTGTATGCCAATATTTTGCACCTCTTTACTTTATAAATAAGCATACAAAATATACATATATATATATACAATTATCAAGTGCTTCTAATCGTCGGATAATGGCATAATTATTGTCAAATTTACATAATTCAATTTCAAAGCACTATTTTTTGTAAATTAGAAGTTCATTATTTGATTGTATTCCAAACACCTATACCTAAGCATTGACACTAAATTTATAAAATATAATTAAACTCTACATTACAATAATTTACAACTAAACAAAATGTATTAAAATTAACTTAACCTAGAACAAAACCTAAAATGATTATTTATCTCCACTTATGCTACTCACTCTAAAACTATAGATTTGTAATTTGATCGAAAGTAATACAGAAGTATAATTTTAAAAAATATTAACTTTGTATTTTTATCTTTCTTCTTTTAACTACTAAAACTCAACACTCCAGGCACTGTGTAAATTCAATTTTACATTTATCTTTCAAGTTTGCTTAGGGGTTTAACTAATCTAAAGGATGGCCTCGATCCATCCAACAAAATATCACATTTGGTATATATGTGTGCACATATACTACATATAAAGTGTGTTTTATATGATGGGCTGCGGCAAAACCTAACAATATTTTAACTCCTTACATCGTAAGCAAACTAAAACGAACTAAGAACAAAAGCGAAACTTTAAATTGTGAGACTATAAATTATAATAAATTCCCGGCCTTGCCCGTGGCAAGTTTTGTGCTTCAAATTTAAAATACAACTTTTTCAACCATTTTCCAGCCGCAAATCGACCGATACTATTTTGAACTTAACGTATATAGTTATATATTACATACATATTTCAAAATAATTTAAAAGTCCTTGAAACAAAGAACATATGGTGCTCTAGTAAGACCAAAAATATCTTATCGCTGCTCCTTGTAGTGACTTAGTCGACGATCCGAGTTCCGGCTACCGAGTATCTCCTAGTTGAGCTCTTCCCACTTACCCACTCAATCTGACTTGTTGTAACCATCAAAAGTAGGCGCGAATCACACAAAGACACACATAATTGTTTTCAAAATCTAGTAGGCGTAACATGTCACACACAAAAACTCAGATTTCCAATAAGCACAAGCAGCTACTTATAACTGGCCTAAGTGAAAAATGCCGTTCATGAGACGTAGTCCCAGTGAGGATCTTACAAATGGCACTGATTGGGACGACGATCATACACGGCGGCACTTTATCAGTAAAGTCTGCAGTATTGTTGCCGTAAGTCTAAAATGTTTATGCTATTAACCCCAATCAACTGCGGTAATAATCTTTTGCAGTTGCAAATGGCCGTAACGACAATAATTACAGCCATATTCCTGTTCGTCGAATCAGCCAATGATTTGTTAATGGAAAATCCATATATCAAATGGATAGCATTGGCTGGGACTATGATCATCAGTTTAATATTAATTTGTTGCAATTCAGTCGCGCGAAAAGTTCCCATTAATTACATACTGTTATTCTTGTTCACCGGGTTTATGGCTCTCGGAATCAGCTGTATGTCTATTTATTATACGACACGGTTGGTGAGTAGAACGTGAATTTAACCTAATAGCTAATGTACTAATTCATTTTATTTCTCCAAGATCCTGTACGCTATCGGAATCACGCTTACCATTTGTATAGCACTTAGTTTATTCGCGATTTTTGCACCGTGCGACTTTACAGGCTGGGGCCCTTACTTGTGCGTGCTATCGATAATCCTTGTGATAATGGGATTACTTGCGTTCTTTATAAGGAATAGAATCCTATCGTTGGTCTACTGTAGCCTTGGCCTATTAGTATTTTCGCTTTACCTAGTGTACGATATACAATTAATGGTCGGCGGTCGTAGGAACGAGTATAGCGAAGATGATTATATTATTGCCGCTTTAGGTATTTACATTGACATTGTTTATATTTTCATTATGATTTTGGGTATCTTAGGCCTAGTTGACGCCTGAGTTGTTAAATTCGATGTCCGTGAAAATAAAAATCCACACAGTGTCAGTTCCGTAAAATAAATACTAATTTTTCTTATGCGAATCGAACATTTGGATGGGTAAACTTTGCGCATGTTATGGTGAAAATATAATATTTATATTGTTTTTGGGATTGGTCAGCTGCTTTATGATTCCACGTAATAATTTGCTGACTATTCGATTAGCTTCAAGTATATTTTCAGAGATCATTGTGAATTGTGAATTGATAAAAGTAAATTTTTTGGCATCAAGATTCTCACCATAAGATATGGGAAACGTTGATTCCAACTTTTGGTTCCTTATGGACTCCAAGGTTATTTTCAAATATCTATTACTACGATAACTTTCCCCGTTACCATGATATTCTTAAGATTCCATATTCAAATATTGTTTTTGAGCCAATCAATATTGTTAAATTTTACAATGAAACTAAAATTGTTATTAATTACAGAATTTTGTATTTATTTAAAATTTGTTGTATTGTAAGGGTATTTGTTTATAAATATAATTTTAGCTAATTTAGCCACCGTTATGCTTGCGTGAATGCATTTCGAAAAATGGTTGCACAGCCTCAATTGCCGCGCGCGATGGGTAATCGACTTGTTTGGGTCCTCCTCGAAACTTCGCCTTAGCTGTAATAGGTGTTTTTACGGTGCACTCGGAACGACGTCTTTGCAGCTGCGTATTATCATTAAGAGCATATGTGAAATAAAATGATCCATGGTCAATAGAATGTATCGCTCGTTGGTCGACCTTAAAATGGACGAGCCGCATGGTAACATTGCCGACCTGAACCATGATTTTCAAATCAAAACTCGACTAATACATGACAGTGGAATCGTTATCGGATAATTGAATCTCTAAAGAATAGGCTGGACATGCAATAATGGCCATGATATATATACATTTTGTATTCTCTTTACATTGTATGAGATGGCCAGTCACACAGTAGGTGTGCCGCAATTAAGCTACATTAAAGCTATCAAAGAGCTGACCAGCACAGCAGGTGACACCCTTCTTGGTGCCCAAATTTCGACTGGAGTCGGACGTGTTCGCTTTAAACTTTTTGCCTCGACCCTGCCAACGTGCCATATGTGGCAGGCAATTCAATGAACCGGGCAGCACGTGTTACAGGCCGTGCCAGCCACTGTGGCCGTGTTGGAGTCCATCCTCCGTATTGGCCCGCTGCTGTCCGTGGTTGTTCAGTTCATTGTTGACCCAAAGCGAAAGTGACTACGTCCGTCGTTGCCATTGATACATTCACAGCCATTGGGGCTCAATTAAATTGTGTCAATATTGAGCTAAGCGAAAACCTGCACGACAATCCTTCGAAGGTCCCTGGTGGCAAAGTTGTCAGAAGGACGTCAGACCTTAGTCGATCTCAGAGACTAATAGAGCTGGAATCGCCATATTTGGCATGCTGGTCAAGTAAACAAGCAAGAGATCCCTCGAATATCTCGACGTACTCAGCAAGAATATATTTACTATAATTTTTTTATATTATTATCGAGTTGCTTATATACGTTTTTAATTCGTTTGTAGTCAACCTTTTTTTGATGTTTTTTGGAATATCTCGGCCAAATAATGTCTCGGCCAAAAACGAAAATCTAAATTTTCACCAAAATCGTCAAAATGGCAAGGGGTTACATCACGTTTTTTCTAAAAATCGGGGTCGGTTCGAAAATCAAAACTTTTTTGATGATTTTTTTTTAATAACTCGGGTTAATATTGTCAGATTTTGAAATGTTATACCTTTTTGAGTTCGTACGGATCCCTACTATCAATTGGCATTTAAACATTTTAAAAATCGATGGGTTAAGAAAAGTGGTTGACCAAAAACCGATTCGTTTGTAAAGTCAACCTTTTTTGATGATTTTTTTTTGGGAATTTTATACCATTTTTGACTCGTAAGGATCAGTACTATCGATTGGCATCAAAAAAATGAAAATCTAAATTTTCACCAAAATCGGAAAAATGGCAAGGGGTTACATCACGTTTTTTCTAAAAATCGGGGTCGGTTCGAAAATCAAAACTTTTTTGATGATTTTTTTTTAATAACTCGGGTAAATATTGTCAGGTTTTGAAATGTTATACCTTTTTGAGTTCGTACGGATCCCTACTATCAATTGGCATTCAAACATTTTAAAAATCGATGGGTAAAAAAATGTGGTTGACCAAAAACCGATTCGTTTGTAAAGTCAACCTTTTTTGATGATTTTTTGGGATATCTCGGCCAAATAATGTCCGATTTGGGAATTTTATACCATTTTGGACTCGTAAGGATCAGTACTATCGATTGGCATCAAAAAAATGAAAATCTAAATTTTCACCAAAATCGTCAAAATGGCAAGGGGTTACATCACGTTTTTTCTAAAAATCGGGGTCGGTTCGAAAATCAAAACTTTTTTGATGATTTTTTTTTAATAACTCGGGTTAATATTGTCAGATTTTGAAATGTTATACCTTTTTGAGTTCGTACGGATCCCTACTATCAATTGGCATTCAAACATTTTAAAAATCGATGGGTAAAAAAATGTTGGTTGACCAAAAACCGATTCGTTTGTAAAGTCAACCTTTTTTGATGATTTTTTGGGATATCTCGGCCAAATAATGTCCGTTTTGGGAATTTTATACCATTTTGGACTCGTAAGGATCAGTACTATCGATTGGCATCAAAAAAATGAAAATCTAAATTTTCACCAAAATCGAAAAATGGCAAGGGGTTACATCACGTTTTTTCTAAAAATCGGGGTCGGTTCGAAAATCAAAACTTTTTTGATGATTTTTTTTTAATAACTTGGTAAAATTGTCAGATTTTGAAATGTTATACCTTTTTGAGTTCGTACGGATCCTACTATCGATTGGCATCAAAAAAATGAAAATCTAAATTTTCACCAAAATCGCAAAATGGCAAGGGGTTACATCACGTTTTTTCTAAAAATCGGGGTCGGTTCGAAAATCAAAACTTTTTTGATGATTTTTTTTGAATAACTCGGGTAAATATTGTCAGATTTTGAAATGTTATACCTTTTTGAGTTCGTACGGATCCCTACTATCAATTGGCATTCAAACATTTTAAAAATCGATGGGTTAAAAAATGTGGTTGACCAAAAACCGATTCGTTTGTAAAGTCAACCTTTTTTGATGATTTTTTGGGATATCTCGGCCAAATAATGTCCGTTTTGGGAATTTTATACCATTTTGGACTCGTAAGGATCAGTACTATCGATTGGCATCAAAAAAATGAAAATCTAAATTTTCACCAAAATCGACAAAATGGCAAGGGGTTACATCACGTTTTTTCTAAAAATCGGGGTCGGTTCGAAAATCAAAACTTTTTTGATGATTTTTTTTTAATAACTCGGGTAAATATTGTCAGATTTTGAAATGTTATACCTTTTTGAGTTCGTACGGATCCCTACTATCAATTGGCATTCAAACATTTTTAAAATCGATGGGTAAAAAAATGTTGTTGACCAAAAACCGATTCGTTTGTAAAGTCAACCTTTTTTGATGATTTTTTGGGATATCTGGGCCAAATAATGTCCGTTTTGGGAATTTTATACCATTTTGGACTCGTAAGGATCAGTACTATCGATTGGCATCAAAAAAATGAAAATCTAAATTTTCACCAAACTCGTCAAAATGGCAAGGGGTTACATCACGTTTTTTCTAAAAATCGGGGTCGGTTCGAAAATCAAAACTTTTTTGATGATTTTTTTTAATAACTCGGGTAAATATTGTCAGATTTTGAAATGTTATACCTTTTTGAGTTCGTGCGGATCCCTACTATCAATTGGCATTCAAACATTTTAAAAATCGATGGGTAAAAAAATGTTGTTGACCAAAAACCGATTCGTTTGTAAAGTCAACCTTTTTTGATGATTTTTTGGGATATCTGGGCCAAATAATGTCCGATTTGGGAATTTTATACCATTTTGGACTCGTAAGGATCAGTACTATCGATTGGCATCAAAAAAATGAAAATCTAAATTTTCACCAAAATCGTCAAAATGGCAAGGGGTTACATCACGTTTTTTCTAAAAATCGGGGTCGGTTCGAAAATCAAAACTTTTTTGATGATTTTTTTTTAATAACTCGGGTAAATATTGTCAGATTTTGAAATGTTATACCTTTTTGAGTTCGTACGGATCCCTACTATCAATTGGCATTCAAACATTTTAAAAATCGATGGGTTAAAAAATTTGGTTGACCAAAAACCGATTCATTTGTAAAGTCAACCTTTTTTGATGATTTTTTGGGATATCTCGGCCAAATAATGTCCGATTTGGAATTTTATACCATTTTAGACTCGTAAGGATCAGTACTATCGATTGGCATCAAAAAAATGAAAATCTAAATTTTCACCCAAATCGACAAAATGGCAAGGGGTTACATCACGTTTTTTCTAAAAATCGGGGTCGGTTCGAAAATCAAAACTTTTTTGATGATTTTTTTTGAATATCTCGGGTAAATATTGTCAGATTTTGAAATGTTATACCTTTTTGAGTTCGTACGGATCCCTACTATCAATTGGCATTCAAACATTTTAAAAATCGATGGGTAAAAAAATGTGGTTGACCAAAAACCGATTCATTTGTAAAGTCAACCTTTTTTGATGATTTTTTGGGATATCTCGGCCAAATAATGTCCGATTTGGGAATTTTATACCATTTTGGACTCGTAAGGATCAGTACTATCGATTGGCATCAAAAAAATGAAAATCTAAATTTTCACCCAAATCGACAAAATGGCAAGGGGTTACATCACGTTTTTTCTAAAAATCGGGGTCGGTTCGAAAATCAAAACTTTTTTGATGATTTTTTTTGAATATCTCGGGTAAATATTGTCAGATTTTGAAATGTTATACCTTTTTGAGTTCGTACGGATCCCTACTATCAATTGGCATTCAAACATTTTAAAAATCGATGGGTAAAAAAATGTTGGTTGACCAAAAACCGATTCGTTTGTAAAGTCAACCTTTTTTGATGATTTTTTGGGATATCTCGGCCAAATAATGTCCGATTTGGGAATTTTATACCA